CTTCCTTCCTTCCTTCCTTCCTTCCTTCCTTCCTTCCTTCCTTCCTTCCTTCCTTCCTTCCTTCCTGCCATCCTTCCTTCCTTAAATCTGAACTTTTTTGTTTATATGTATTACAAAAATGCTGTGTTTGAGAATGGTTTGAATATGCAAATATAACAGGGCACCTTGTTTTACAGGGAATTAATTTCAACCACTTGTTATTCATTCCCTCTTTTTAAAATCCTAGCCCTGCTCATTTTTCTCTTTTTTCCTGTGACTTCTGTCAGTGGTACATATATGCAAAAACATGGAACCCCTCCTCCTCCCCCCCCCCTGCACACAAATAGAGCGACTTGAAAAATATCTAGAATTAATTTCAAATGAATTTGAAAGTTTAGAATGATAAATTGGGGAAACTGGACTCTGTAGGATTTGTAGGTGTGGGTTCATACTTTGGGGAAGAGGGATCACCTTAAATTCAGGATTATCTTCCTTGTGGGGGGAAAGGTAAATTATTGATTCTGTGTTGCTGTTCACCAAGTATGTTAGCCATAACTAGTTTCACAGTGAGCTGTCCAGGGTCCTGAGTATCTATGACCTTACCTTGTAGAGTTTCTCCACAGTTTGTCCCTATCTATTGCACATAGAATGGGATGCAGCAAATCTATGCATCCTTGTTAAATCACTGACACCACTGAGATCGATTACCAGATAAATATGTGAAAGAACAGAGTATAGATTTGTTTAACACTTGCAATGTATTAATTAGCCTGGATAATATAAATAATATAATCCCTGTCCAATTTTGTTATCACAACCAACCATACCATCTCAATATGATACCTATTTATTTATTTACTTGGTTTATACACCTTTCCAATCTATCTAGCATAACCCTGGGTAGTTCAGAACAGTAATAACACTATTAAAAAGTTTTTTTTAAAGCAACAGATCCCAACATACCCAAAATAAACTTTAGAACTTTATTATGTGAATGAATTGCTTTGCATATTACCTTCAAAAGTGTATGTTTGTGTGTCTGTGTATAATTTTTAATATCCCAATTATGTTCATTGAATCATAGCAAGTTATTTCTCACAATCTAAATAATCAAAATATTGAGATTTGATGTATGCAAACAGGTTGTCATTAACTGGCCTGCTTGCTAGAAATACAGCCTCTTTGGAAGGCAAAGCTTTATATGAAACAGAGCAAGGGTAGTCAATTTCTATGTCTCTCTTTTGCCATACTGCCTATTAATGCTATCTATTTACTTTTATCATCCATAAATTTTTGCAATTTCTCACAGAAATGTCTGCAGTGATGGTCAAACAGGGAATGATGGAAGCATCTCTGTGCCATCAATATTCAAACTCTGGTGCATAGATGAATGAAAAGTATAATGCAAAGCTAAGGCAATCCTAAATTGTAATAACAGAGGCTTGGCTAGTCTAGTAAAGAGAAGGACCAGGGGAGACATGATAGCAGTCTTCCAATATTTGAGGGGCTGCCACAGAGAGGAAGGGGTCAAGCTATTTTCTAAAGTGCCTGTAGGCCAGACAAGGAATAATGGATGGAAACTGAACAAGGAGAGATTTAACCTGGAAATAAGGAGAAACTTTCTGACAGTGAGAATAATCAACCAATGGAAGCTTGCCCTCAGAAGTTATGAGAGCGCCATCACTTGAGACTTTCAAAAAGAGATTGGACTGCCATTTGTCAGAAATGGTGTGGGGTCTCCCACTTGGGCAGGGGGTTGGACTAGATGACCTACAAGGTTCCTTCCAACTCTGATTATCTGTTATCTGTTAAGTATAGAGCTTACATCATGACAATGGTATAGTTTTCCTTATTTTGATGAATGTATCAGAGTCTGCAGGATATTGTGACTTTTAGTCAATTGAAAGACTGAAATTAAATGCTGAACCTATTGTTGTTGGTTATACTTTTTGAGGTGTGAAATATTCATAGCTGAAATGAACAAAAGTGCTTCTAATCCTAGCATGGCCATCCTTACTGCACTTGGTGGCTTCTTTTACGTTTCTGTGCCTTTTCTTGGGTTTCCATGGGAGCCACATTGGATAAGGAAAGTATGCATTTTAGCTAAGAGATGTGTTGTTAAGAAGGTGACAACATGGCAGCACATGGTTGCAACTTGTCACTTCCTCTATCAGACCATCTCACTTCTAATACGTGTTTTCCTAAACTACTGTGATAATTCAGGAAATATAAATTTTCTTCAAAGAGCTGCTGACATATATAGCGGTCAACCTTGCAAGGTGCAGACAAGAAATACATCCAGGAATCCTAGTTTCAGCTTTATGGTAAGGTTATATTATCAGAATTTTGCAAGTCTGAAAGTACTTCTCTCTCCCGTATCCCAAGAAATGGGGGAGAGTCCCTTCAATAATGCTTGCCACATCCCCATTTCTTCTAGGGTCTCAGCTGCCTCTTATCTGACCTTTCCCTACTCTGCAACTCTTCCTCCTATCTCCCAAGGTCATTCTCACATACCACTTTGTCTACACCAAGTTTCAAAGCAGCATTTCTCATTTTGGATCCAAGCTCTGACCATATCTATTTAGTACTGTTTAGTACTGTTCAACAATAAAAATAAGTAACAATCTTCAATTAGTAAATGAAGAAAAAACACCAGGACTGAATAAAGATAACAAAAAAATAAAAGAATACAAAGTTTGT